TATAGTTAACAAAAAACTTTACATGAAAGCTGTTATTGACAAAAAAAATGCAAGAAAAATAATGTCTAACAGTAATATTACCTTTTGTTAACTGTTAACTAAATGTTTTAGTTGTTTATGTGTAAAATATAAAAATATATAATATTAACTGAAAGAATAAGTAGTCACTACTAGTGCCTAAAGGAAAATCTAAAAAAAATGTATATATATATATATTTTTTTTTCCTCGCTGATGCCATTTTAGATTTTGTCAGACAATGGAACTACTTTGCATTTCACTTGAGTTTTAAAATGTCCTATACTGTACTGCAACTGTATACCTGAGCATTAGCAACAGACAGATATTCCTCTGATCCATCTAAACGGAAGACCTTAGGCGACAGGAAAAAGAGAGAAACAAAAAAATCGATGGTTTCTTGTACTCACAGCTTCAAGTTTCTATTTTAACATGGCTCGCTATTGATTAGCTTTTATAGCTGAAGTCTCTTTGAGCAGCAGCTCGCTCCAGGAGGATAGAAAAGAGTTTAGCAGAACAAAACCCACAAAATAGAGAGAGGGGAGCTTGGAAATGATGGCCTGATGCTTTCTTGGCCTGCTTGATCTGCACTAACAGTTCCTGCTTAAGCACGGTCAGTGTACAGTTGCCAACATGAAAGGCTTTTGTATTGTGTGATGGACTTTCCCAGAACAGCACTGCGGTGTACTGAGCTTTTATAGTGGGGAATGACTTCGAAGGGTGAATCGTTTAAGGAGAGCTTGCCAAGTGCTGTGCTCCCACTCCAGCTGAAATGAAAGGAGTTCCGGTGCTTTGTGTCAAGAGAGGCATCAAACACCTGTGCAGTGGAAAGCAATGCTGGGTAGGCAGTGTGGGGAAACAGCAGAACTGAAAGTGGCATGTCATTGTCGACATTAAATTCTTGCTAATTAAAAACCAGAAGAATATTATGCTACACAATACTTCATTACTGGTATGGTACTAATCTTACATAAATTACGTCCATGTTCTGCTGTCATGGTGAGTTTGCGGTGACCAGCGTACTCCGTGAAACAATGTGTTCTCTGTCAGGAACTGATTAACCAAGTGCTGCTCCGGCACTAGCTAGGTGTTGATGGCTTCACAGCATCATGTCAGTATAGGGGTTTTGAGAAGTGTTGCACAGCACGTCTGAAAGGTCATTCCACTCACACTGCCTAAAGTCACACCACAGGGAAAGGGAATGCTAGAACCTTCTGCTAACCACAAAAAACATCCAAATTGCAAAGAAAACAAGACCACGATTAGCCCAGAAACATACTAAATGTTGAATGTAAACATTAAGTACTAGTTTTATAAACTTATTTTGTGTTGCGTTCTGAAATATGTTGCTGGTTTGTGCAGCATTCAGAGCTGAATGAAGAATCTTTTAGATTCCTGAATTTGAGCTGAGAAAAAAAAATCATAACTGTAATCTAAAACTAGATGATTGTTTTTAGTTAGTAAAAACAAAAAGAAAACGTTTTAAAGATGTATTTTAAAGATGTCCTGTTCCTTTTCTCATGGCTACCCCATCATTTACGCAATTTCAGCCCAGCTAACTCAAGCAGAATAGCAGACTGGCTATTACACTTTGTGTCACATTCTCCCCAGGCCCCATTTATTTCACAGGGCCACTAAACGCTAAATGACAATTGACTTTATCAACAAACTCCCAATTTTTCACCATGCACCTCCATGACAATAATGGCTTTTGTTTTCCAAACCCCGCAACAAGATTGAATTACCACTGCTGAGGCCAAGTTCAGATATTCTGCAACAGATCATGGTAGAAACAGATACTGCTGAGATACAAAAATAAAGTGTTTCAAACTTTCAGCATAGGAGAGTAAAGGGTGCTCTGAGTGTTCAGGCGCTTAGTTTCTTCTCGGTTCTCCTCCTGCATAAAGCCTAATGATGTGGAGGTAATACAAAGTCAACTCAGATCAGAGGACAAGAGAGTGCCAAATAAGTGTGAATAAACTAGCTGTGAAACGTGGTGCTTTCCTCACTTCTTTAAGTGTACGGCCTCCTACATTACTTCTCTCTTACTAATTCCCTCTATTTACAACCTTTCCTTGCAGTTTTGTATTATACTAAGAAATCCCACCCAATTATGGTGTCCCTTTTACAAGCTTTTGTATAATCACACCTAAAACCTGCTTCCGCTACTGAAAAGACTGGCATAAGTTGTGTTTTGGATGCCAGTATTCTGGTGTCCCCGCCATACTTCTTAAAGGGATAGTTCACCCAAAAATGAAAATTGTCATCATTTACTCAGCCTTGTTGTTCAAAACCTGTATGATTTTATTTCTTCTGTAGAACATAAAAGATGATATTTTGAAGAATGTTGTTAACCAAACCATTTCGGTTCCCATTAAAATCAATTTTATTTTTGTCCGTTCAATGGGAACCGGAACTGTTTGGTTACCAACATTTTCAAAATATGTTCTTTGTGTTCCGCATACAGATTTGGAACAACATCAGAGTGAGTAAATGATTCTAGAATTTTCAATTTTGGGCGGACTATCCCTTTAAATAGTCTAACCGGCGAAACTTGGAAAAAGAAAAATGTAAAAACACCAGAAACTTCATTCACGCCACATGAACCGGATCTCAGTCAACTCTCCATCTAAACAGTTTACAATTCCCTGTCCTCACCTATTTGTTGATATTTCAGGCCATTTTGAAGCAAGACATCTGCTTTTATGAGAAGAGGGAGACGCACCTGCAAACCCAATCCATCTGCAGCAGCTCTACTATAGAAACTATAGGAACTTTGACCCCTGCATCACCCTGTCTTTGGATTTGTTTTATTGGCACTGAGGGCTCTTCAGGCAAATAAGGGGCAATAGTCATAAGAGAGAGGAAGCCCTGCAGCATTCAATAAGCCATTTAATCGAGTGGAGAGCAGACATCAATACAGGTAAAACCCAGCAGGATACTCAGCAGGAAAACAGACAGAGGGAGAGGTAGTTTTCATGAGGACTCAGTATGTTTCACACAGGCAACACACAACAACTCCCAACACCACAATAGAGCACAGCTGTGTTTTATAGAGGGAGACCATAACATACAAAAAAATGTTTTAGCTTTTATTTTTAAAATATGCTGTCAGTGATATAATGAACAATATATAATTTGACTTCTTTAAAGTGTCGGATTTCAAAAACAAATGGCTGGTCAAAAATGTTGGTAAAAAGTGCAGACATGTTCCAGTTCTGAGGGGACAGATTTATAGCTGGAAATCTGATCATCTAAGGTGACATAAATTAATTATGCAACACTCAGCAGATCTAACAATCCAAACTCTCTCCTCCTAAACTACAGTATAAATGTAACATTTATATTCAAAGGTCCTCTAAGTTCAATTACTGACCAGACAAATTAAAGATGCAATTCTGTAAGGGCCTGAAATTATAAATGGTTAAGCTTAACTATTTTGCTGAGACATTTAGACTCCTTTATTGTTACCATATCATCACCACCACATTAAAACAAACACATGTAAATAATAAAACTAATTTAGCCCAAACAAATTAAGCATGTCAAAAAATTAAAACAAAAGTTAATCTTTAATCTTTTAGCTGCTGAGAAGGAATTGCTATTAAAACTGTGACCTACTACTCCCAGACACCAAGACTGTAGTCTGCCTTGTCTCAGTGTCTGTGTCATAAATCCCGATGTAGGTGGGGAACTGATTCCCCGCTTGGCCTGTTTCTTAGCCATGGAACTCAGCCGTCAATCAATGCAAAAAGCTTTACAATGGGGAATAAGGAGCATCCTCAGATTTAGAGCACTCTGCCGTAACTTTCTGCTCTCACAGCCACAAAGAGAGAGAGAGCGTGAGGGGAAAGTAGCAAGGTACATGTTATTTTAATTACTGTGGTGTTTACCACCTTATTTTGGTTCCCTAAGGGAAGCTCTATCCAGGCTTTGTGGTTCTTCGCTTTCGTTATTTTGATTGACATTACTTACCAGTGACATTGATTTTAGAAGGTTTAAGTTTCCTCTCAAGTTTTTTTTTTTCTTTTACTACAAATCTGTAACAGCCAGAGTCAGTTGTTAACACACTTTCACACAGTAACCATCATCTATAAGTAAATGTTACCAAAATATGAATTTATTATATTCATAAACATTATTTATTAATAAAATATTTATTAGTACATATTTATTCATATAAAAAAATTTAATTGATTTTTTTTTTCAAAATTCAGTGGTAATTCATGCATTTGAAAAAGCATTTGAAAAATATTTTAATGTAAGTTGTTAATTAAATTAAGCCTCCTCTTCCTTTACCCTCACTCCGTCTAACGTTAAGGAAATCAGTTGCTTCAGAAAATGAAAACTTTCAATCTGACTTCATCTGCCGCTGTTAAACCTTTGCTGTCACCATCTGTTGTGCACACCTTTGACAATGAATCTCTGCTTTTTTATTACTATTATGATTAATATAGGGCCCTCTCCTTGCTGAAGTAGGGAACAACATTGCCACCTAGAGGATGATCCAAGTCAGTATCCAGCATCTCAGGCCAGATTCACACAACCCTGCTACCCTCACAAACATTTTGCCTCAGTAACCTGAGGCACATTTAAAAAGTGATTTTATTGCAGCCCCTCCCCCAAATAAAACACATTCAAATGCGACTATCACATCAACAACACGGCTGCATCTCCGACCGAGCTATTCCATTGCCCCTACAGTTGGCTGAAGTGTACAGCATTTATAATGGTTCACTGGGCACTAACCATGAACATTCAGAACTATATCTCCCCATGCAAAATCCAGAGGATCAGAGACCGGAAGATAGCATGCATCCACAAGGACATATAGAGGAAAAAGAGGGAGGAAAACAAGTAGGACATGAGAGAAAATACCATTCCCACTGGTTTAACTACACCAAATCAAAGTCTTTTTTCCATGTAGCAATTTGATCCGCTTGTTGTTAAAACAAATTAAGCGGATTAAAAAAGCACATCCTACCTGAATAGATGGGAGCCAGTCGAAATATATCAGAAAGCCGGCTGTTCACAGGTTCATATGGAGAATCCTCAAGTAAATCATTCCCTGTAATGTGAACAAATGACATGTGACTAAATAATCAAATGCTATATCAGTTATGAAATATTTTTCTTAAGTGCATCATTGATGTCATTATTTAATGTGTGCATTAAACTACAAAGCTGGAAACGGTCCTTTACGTTAGTCAGTATTTGGGTCATTGATTCATGGAACTGGTTTACATTTCCGGAGCCAGTTTCTGGTTGATTAGCTGTACTGGTCAGTTGAGCTGAGAAAGTTGCTGCCCCCCTCCAGCACACACATATAGCCTACACTGACATAAAGCATCAGATGACCTCACACTCCATAAACTTTAATGGACACACTTCAGAGAGGCATTTGAAGACTTTACAGTGGCCCTATCTGATAACCGAACTCAGAAAAGCAACTTCCTTGGCGTAGTATTATTGGTTGCTAAGTATTAAAAATAAACAATGTTAGAAAAAAATTGTGTATGACTTTATACTGCATTTTGAAGCTAAATATTGTCACAGCTTCATATATTTACAGTGCACTATATGAGAAAACAAGTCCACGCACCCTGTAAATGCTGATAGATCCCCCAGTAGATGCGCAGGCAGTTCTTTTCTTTCTTCATGCCTCTTTTACAGCGGCAGTTATACAAAGGGCTCTGCTTTAAAGCGTCCAGTGCAAGCCGGCATTCATCCTTCGCCTCCACACCAGTCACCATACTGAAGTTGCTCTCCCTCCCCGCCACGCACTGCCTCATAGTTCGATACTTCGTGCTGCATCCCGGCTCCTTCAAACACAGCTCGTTCGCCTTCACACAGTCCAGCCGGTTTGAGCTAGTAAAGTAAGACTCCTCGGCAGATAACAGCACATCTATAATGGACGACAATATAAATAATCATATCACGGATAGGATCGCGTTTTATTGAAATGCTTCAACAAAAGGCTATTCAAGACTGTTACAAAAGATATCAATGATAATAGCAACAACAATAAACTTATTAATATTCGAATATTTCATTCGTATCAATATTTATTATGTTAATTTTGTTTCATTTAGTGTATGAAACATTTTTCGAGTTGATATTGTTCAAGATTATAATAAACTCAAGGTGCTTTAGAGATTAAAATATTAGCACAAGAAGATTTAAGCAGACTTAGTGGAAAGTAAAACAGCGCTGATCCTCAAAAGCTAAAATATGCCCTAGTTATGAGGCAATTGTAACCGTATAAGCTATAATCTATTTATATATTGGACAGAATCAAAAATACTTTTTTTGATGGTCTTATGATGACATCTGAGTTTTAATCTTAAATTTAATACTGCGTGTCAGTGTTACTTCCAATCGATTGCTACCATATCATTTACCAGTCAATCACTGAATATGTAAAACCGCATTCAAACTCACCCAGCAGCGGTAAAACGAGGTAAATCGCGGCGATGAGCATTGCGCTTTTTATCCGTTGGTAAGTTCGTTCAAACACGCAATTTATTGTTTTGACGATGAAAAGGATAATCCTTCCTCATTCAGGTCCATTGAAACATCGTTGGTCACAATGTACATCCAGAGTAGGTATAAAAGAAAAAAAATGTTCCGTAACCTGGTCCAAAACTGTCACTAAGCGATATGCAAATGTTTCTTGGATTAAGACTCATAGACAATGTAAGAAACAGGCAGAAAATGAGTCGCAAGGCAGCAGAATTAAACTCCAGCTCTCAAGATCTGCTGGTGCGTCTGAGCGCGCGACAGCACTGTGGCGTTCAGTTCAGTTGCGCTGTAACCCAAACCAAAAACCACACGCGACTCCGTGCACGCTCAGCGCTTCTGCTTGAAGCACGGCAACAGGACAAAGACGTTCCGTTTTGCCACTCCAAAACTTATCGTCTTTAATGCTTTCTGCTATTGTGTAAACTGTATAGGGGGTTATGCACGATGCTTGTGTTTTTATTTCTCGTCAGTTGGTGAGTGTGTCTAAGAAATTCCATGCACTGCTGACTCTGAAATCGCTTTTGTTTGCCTGACCTCTAGATGTTTTTTCTTCTTCTTCTTTTTCACCCCCCCTTTATTCAGTTCCATCACACAAAGGGACAGTGCAAACAGGGAAACGTTGCACATCTCAAAGCATGCACAACAGACCACTAGATGTTGGGACAATCTGGTCTAAATGGTATTATATGAGCAGATTAGACTGGTCTGGCACTGCTAGGCTACGCCACTAACCAAGTAAATGATTTACGTGTATCAAATTGTGTATCAAAGTCTATAAATACTTATTCAGTTTTCGCTCCAAGATTAGACTAGCCTACTTCTAATGGAACCTGCAACATTGCTGACTTAATACGAAAGAATACGTTAAAACGTTCAGTCAAAATATAGTTTTGTTTTATGCATGATGATCACATAGGCTATGTGACATCATGATTAAGACCGTCCCTGGGAAGTTTTCATTTAACAAACAAGCAATAAAGATTTTTATTTTCATCAAATAAAAATAAACACACAAAATAAATAATGCCGTTTTATTTAAGAACGTTAAATACTTGCTTGTTTTTCCATTAAACATTTAAAATGACCCTTTTCTTTACGGAATGACAATATATGGCTTTCCTTTTCTAATAAAGTTTTGGTGCGATCTCGTTCACTGTAGTGCATTGCTTATTGAAAGACTGGTGGAGGTCGCCATCTGTTGGTAGACTACGTATGTGCATCTTACTAATGAAATGACTTGACCAGTAGTGGTTCTCAGCCTTTGCAACCCCGAGTCTTCCATTGTCGAAATCAATAGATGGTTCCAGGTTATGATTTTTATCCCCTTTTGTACCTCTCCAGAAAAGGTGCCTGTTTTTGTACCTTTTAATAAACACAAATCAGGGCTATTATAGCTAACTAAAAAAATGTTATTACTTGAAATAAAATAAATGCTAAATTAAATAAAATGTATTTGTTAACTGTAAAAGTTAATGCTCCAAATACAAAATTCGTCACTGTGAACATTGTAAAACGCTACTACTCTGCTCTAGCCTGCAGCTGTAGTCTCTGAAGAGTGAAAAAGCACACCGAAGATGCCAAAACAAACATTTTAGATCCACTACTGAGCAGAAAACTGAAAGTTTGTTCACCAAGGTTAAACACTGAATTGAAAAATTATTTGGGTTATCAGTGGCACGTGTAAAATTCCTGATTTTTCTCCAAATTAAGAAATGTTGAGTCCTGTTCACAGTGACAATGATTAAAGTCACCAAGCTGCTGTTTCCAGTTCCTGTTCCTACTACAAACCCAGTTCCAAAAAAGTTGGGGCACTGTACAGATTGTGAGTAAAAAAGGAATGGAATAATTTACAAATCTCATAAACTTATATTTTATTCACAATAGAATATAGATAACATATCAAATGTTGAAAGTGAGACATTTTGAAATGTCATGACAAATATTGGCTCATTTTGGATTTCATGAGAGCTACACATTCCAAAAAAGTTGGGACAGGTAGCAATAAGAGGCTGGAAAAGTTAAATGTACATATAAGGAACAGCTGGAGGACCAATTTGCAACTTATTAGGTCAATTGGCAACATGATTGGGTATAAAAAGAGCCTCTCAGAGCGGCAGTGTCTCAGAAGTCAAGATGGGCAGAGGATCACCAATTCCCCCAATGCTGCGGCGAAAAATAGTGGAGCAATATCAGAAAGGAGTTTCTCAGAGAAAAATTGCAAAGAGTTTGAAGTTTTTAACAGATTTAGTATTTTAATTATTATTTAAATATAATTAGTTTAAAAAATAACAATTTTAGGACATCGCTTCCCAGCTGAGAACCACTGGAATATCCTTGTGTTGAGGCTGGTGGATTACATTATACTTATTCTGTTTTATTAATGTTAAATGACTTTATAGTTAACTATGGTTAAAAATCAATCAATTTCTCTTTATCAATGAGAAAATTTAAACCTTTTGACGTTTATCCTTATGTCCATAGTTAATTAAGGATCAATTACTCTGACCAAATCTATATTGACAACTGTTCAATCAAGAGTCATGCTTCTCGTCTGATTTAAATGCATTTCTCAATTAACCTCATTTCATTCTAATAACTGTAAGTGGAGTTTCTAACTGGGTTTCTACAGGTCATTGGTGAAAAGCAGGGTTCAAGATCATTTGAAATATTCTCCTCACCTCATAGCTCTCTCTCTCTCTCTCTCTCTCTCTCTCTCTCTCTCTAAATGGGAATTATCTGAATTGTAATAACTAAATCAATTTGTCCAAGGTCTGGCTCCAGCTCTAAGATTTAAGGTGGGCCGGACAGTTGGGGTGGTTTCTTGGATGGGCCAAAGCCTGATTTGCAGATTTTGCACTGTATCATGCAATAAATTAAACTGTTCTGTTCTGATTTAAGAGTTTGATTGTTGAAGAAAAAGTCTGGAAAACACAAAACTCTTTGTGCAAATGAATGTCAAAATTATATATAGTCACCGTCATACAAACAAGAACACTTTAATGTGCTGCATAACACCAAATCAAAACCATTCTTTCCAGCAGTGCCTGGAAAACTGGGGAAAGGAAAGAATGACGTGACAAATACTGCTGGACCAAATGGCACCAAATTAAAGTTATTGATTGCTGACTGTGCTTACAAATGCCAAACAATAGGAAGATTGGCAGTTTCAACTGAGCTTCAAAGTAGGCTGGTAATGAATGAAACCGTTAGTTTAGGAGGCCAAATGACTGAGCTATCTCATGGGCTTACACATTTCTCACAGGTGTTGTGTCTAGGTACACCTCTGCCAGTGGATCATCAGTTTGTAAGTGGGTAAGCTACTGCAAGGCTATTTGCCACTGAAGTCGATGCCATTGTCTGTATCCAGTCTACTTGCTCTCAATGGGGTAATGCCAGTGCAACTTCTGAAGAATTTGATCTGAAGTAATAATGAGAACAGATTTCTCTTTTTGCCATCTTTACACTGTTAAGGAGGCACAGAAACTGCATCTGATGTGGTATATATATATATATATATATATATATATATATATATACACACACACACACAATGAAAGAGTTGTTGCTGTACACAGAAGTTACAAATAAATAATGGGTAATTCCACCTACTGGGTACCATTTACTTGTTGTAACTGTTCAAAAAAAAAAAAAAAATCTATTGAGAATCAGTACTGGCCAATCTCAGGTAACTTTATTTAATTTTTTACAGTTATTAAGTCAAAGATGGATGCATTTTTCCTCAGTCCTGTTACCAAAAATCTTCAGTCTTTTAAAAAGCATGTGTATAAATACATCAGCTAATTTCTTCGTTTTCCCCTGGTGTTTATTTTAAAGAAATTGTTAGTTTCATGGTCAAAATATTTATAATTATCATAAAATATCACTATATATCTATGCAATGTGTATTTCAAAAAACAAAAAAAAACACAAACCCATTTTTTTAGAGGCGACTCAATCCTCAAGTTTATCAATGCTTTAATAATGTAATTTATTAAACAATGGAATAAATGATGGACCAAACTTAATTTAAAAATTGTGGTTTAACTTTATTTATTTTTTCATTTTTTTAGAAAAAGCTATTTAGTAAAAGAAATTGGGTAACAGGAATGAACACTAGGTAACAGGAATGTGTGTCCATATAATAGGTTTGGCTACACTTCTGAGGTGTTAATGTCCTCACTGATATACTGAAGAGTGTTGAACATTGACTAGTAAGCTGGACCTCACTGGTAAAAAAAGAAAAAGAAAAAGCCAAAACATGTTTTTATTTAAATCTAGTGGTCTGCAGAGGTTTTTGTTAGGGTTATGTTTAGGGGTAGGGGACGGGTTATGAGATGATATTTAAATAACAAAAAATAATGATAATGGGAAAATATCATTAACCTGATAAAAAAAACAAAAAAAAAAACAATTGAAGTCTATGATATGTCCTCACTAATATCATGAAATACATTTGTGCCTTTATTTTATTTTTTACAAATGAGGATGTCCCCAAAAGGAGACTTTGGGAGATTTCATCAGGTTTAGCTAATTTCTGGGTGTACAAATATGCACACATAATGTCCTGGGGAAGAGAAATGGCACCGATTCGATGGAGTGGCCCTAATATTATGCTAGAAAAATAAAATTGTAAATAAAGAAAAGAAAATACATAGGCCTACACATAGATAGATAGATCCACCTATACTATTTCTGTGCTACCAAGAAGTTCATCATAGATTAGACAAAGAATGTTTACTTGTCTGGCCCGTTCTTCGTACCTTGCTCAATACGTCTGAGATTATTTGAAAGATGCCAGATCTTCTAATCGTGATAACTGATCTCTGGCTAATTTGGTTCTTCAAATTAATTTGCGGATTTGATTAAAATATCTGGATTAAGTTGTCTAAGGCTGTGTTCCAGTTCACTTTTTTTATGCACTTTCACTCGCTAACTTCCCTCCATCTCGTTTACTCGGATGTACGTCATTGATTACGTTGCATGAGTGCCCACTAGAATCCGCTATGGAGTTGGTTTATTGTTTACATTTTCCCCTTACAAATTTGTTTGCTGCAGCATTCTATATGTATATAGGTATGCTTGGGCTGTTATAAATGTAAAAAAAAAAAATTATGTATTATAGAGTTGTTTGGGGTGGGGATAAATAGAGTGGTGGAACTGATGTCACTTTGTAGGCAAAAACCTGGAAGCGAGTTAGCATTATAGCACTTCCGGTTCCATTGTCCCAGAGTCAATGATTTTTTTGAATGGGAGTTTGGTTAAATCCCCTAAAATAAGGTCCGTGGTTCACACAAGCG